CTAATTATGTTAATTATGCCTTCCACATTAATACTAATATTATTTAGGGTGACCAATACGTCATCTTAGTCCTGGCCAGGATTTCTAAATTGCCTAAAATGTCCTGGTTTTGGCTTTGTTTTCATATTTGTAGAAGGTAATGAGTAAAAGAAGTCTGTCCAATAAGGCATTATACACAATCGACCAATCGTGACGTGCGAGAAGGCGGGATTCACAGAGAACGGACTGTAGAGAGCATGTCTGTAGTAAAATGAAGCCAAAACCTGGACATTTTAGGCAATTTGACAGGACATGTGTGGGGGGAAAAGAGCACATATGGTCATCTGATATATTTTAACGGGTTAGTTCACCCAAAAATTAAAATTAGCTTGTGTTTTACTCACCCTCGAAGCATCCTAGGTTTATATGACTTTCTTCTTTCAGACAAATCCAGTCGGAGTTATATTAAAAATTGTCCTGGCTATTCCAAGCTCTATCATTGCAGTCAGCGGGTGTTGCAGTTGAACAGTCCACAAGTTGTCAAATAAAGAGCACGCATCCATAATAAAACGTGCTTCGCACGGATCCAGGGGGTGAGTAAAGGCCTCCTGTAGCGAATCCATGTGTCCATATTTCAAACGTAATAAACACTTTTATATCACTTCCACCATCTGTCATACATGGAAGCCGTTCAGGCGGATGGCGTAGGATGTCGGCGTTGCGTGATTAGTGACGAACGCGGAGAGAGAACAAAACAAAATGCCGGTCACGAATTAGAAGTACAAACCGAAGATTTGCAAAGAAAAATTTTGGAGGATTTCGATATAAGCCAAGAGGAGACTGGTTTTCCTTTGCTAAAGTAAGGAAACGTTGCTTCCTTTGCTTCTATAAACAAACTCACGACACTAGCATATCTCAGAGATGCGCATATGTCGCGCGTCATCCGCCGGAACGCCTTCCGCGTATGACAGATACCGGAAGTGAGAGAAAAGGGTTTATTACGTTTTGAATATGGATATTTTTCTAACAAAAATGCATGGATTCACTACAGGAGGCCTTTATTCACCCCCCGGAGCCGTGTGAGGCACGTTTTATTATGGATGCGTGCTCTTTATTTGACGACTTGTGGACTGTTCAACTGCAACACCCGCTGACTGCAATGATAGAGTTTGGAATAGCCAGGACAATTTTTTATATAACTCCGACTGGATTCATCTGAAAGAAGAAAGTCATATACACCTAGGATGCTTTGAGGGTGTGTAAAACACAGGCTAATTTTCATTTTTGGGTGAACTAACCCTTTAATATATGTTTTACATATACCGAGTAACTAATGCTATTAATAGCTCTGTTCTTACTGTATAGTCAGCAATTGTCTCATTAGTGTATGGTAAGTCAAGCACCACTATTATTAGTTACTCTAGTGATCTGAATGAACCCCTAACTAAAGTATTTAACTTAAATATGTAACTTGACCTGTAATGTTTGTTGCTACTGTTTTGAATGATACACTGTTTAAAAGAAAAAAAATGGGAAAAAGCGTTGTTTTAGGTTTTATGGATTTAACTTGTCAATTTCTTTATTTATTTACTTTTTGCTATACATTATAATATGACAATTTACTGTAAAATTACATAAAATGTCCTGTTAGATTTACAGTTTTGCACCGTATATAGTAAGGAAACTTACAGTTAACGACTTAACAGGTTTTTATCATGGCATTTGCAATCTTCTACTGTTAAAATTATGGTCATTTTTAAAGTGCACTTTTTTATCAGTAGTGATCAAACTTTTAAATATCACAAGGGCACAGTAAAACAGATTTAAATATCTCACTTTGTTATTGCAGGTTGTTTACAGTGCAGCACCCTGGAAACAACTCACAGCACCCTCAGAGACTTTTGCACAGGCGAGTACCATTCATATTTCTTTCTGAAAATGCACAAAATTGAGTTTGTTTGGTATTTGTTTTTTCTCCCAAGGAAACAGCCTCTGAGCTGTAATAAAAAGGTCCTGCTGATGCACATATGACACTGAAGTCAGCATTACTCTCCAGTAACTCTCTAATAGCGAGTATGCGTGGGGTCGGAGGTGACTAGCCCATGATATGATGCACCAGATTCCTCCATGACAACAGCAGCTCTGTGTGTCGGCTCCTGAGGCGCAGCGACGCAACTCAATGCGCACAGCCTCCAAACCGCCGTCTGGAACTGATTAATGACAGTTTGCCTTCTCTGTTCTCTTTTCTTAAATTCCTTTCTTAAAGGGCGTTCACACTGACAGCGATTTGCATCCATAAGACATTCATTTATAATGAGAGTTGGCAATTTCCGGCAATATGACTGACAGGGACCGTTAGCGGGACCGCCTACTAGCATCAACAGCACAATTAGACTGTGTATAGATTAACATACTAACATACTACTCATACTACTCATACTCTTTCAGTAGCATTTAGTATGCATGCTGTGTACAGTATGCTAGTCGGAGGTGACTAGCCCATGATATGATGCACCAGATTCCTCCATGACAACAGCAGCTCTGTGTGTCGGCTCCTGAGGCGCAGCGGCGCAACTCAATGCGCACAGCCTCCAAACCGCCGTCTGGAACTGATTAATGACAGTTTGCCTTCTCTGTTCTCTTTTCTTAAATTCCTTTCTTAAAGGGCGTTCACACTGACAGCGATTTGCATCCATAAGACATTCATTTATAATGAGAGTTGGCAATTTCCGGCAATATGACTGACAGGGACCGTTAGCGGGACCGCCTACTAGCATCAACAGCACAATTAGACTGTGTATAGATTAACATACTAACATACTACTCATACTCTTTCAGTAGCATTTAGTATGCATGCTGTGTACAGTATGCTCATTTTCTATATGCATGTAAGAAATACTTTGATAAACTAGTACATTTGAGAAAATGAGAAGTACACAACAGAGAACAGTGCAACAATGCAATGCACTCGACTTTACTTTCCAGTTTTGGCTTTGATTTTTAACATTTTTAACTCTTTCTTGACTTATTTGATCAGACTGCCAAAGGTTTTTATACAAAATTTCATAGTTTTAAATTAAATAGCTATTTTTATTTCCAAAATAATACCTCATAGTATAACGTAATGGAAATGTGACAAAAATATTCAAAAACTAGTGTTGTTATCATAAAATAAAAATAAAAAAGTATATATATAAGAAGAAAGACTTACAAATTAGATAATTAGAAGTGTTGCCTTGGTGAAATACAGTAAGTGTATGCTAGTACTAAAATTTCTAAAACTGAATAAATAAATAAATATATAAATGAAAGATAAATAGAAAATAAAAATCTAACACAAATGGCAAGTACATACAATTACTAAAATAAATAAAAAAATTAAAATATAAAAATAAAAGCTAATTAAAATGTCATAATGTGTAATTAATGTCATAATATTTCATTTTTTTAATAGCCATAAACTAGCTTTCCAGGGAGATTTTTGTGCAAAAGCCTAAAAAAGCTTAGACTATTCTCGAAAGGTTATTTTTACGTTTTATTCGATTTGATCAACATTTGATGATCAACAGCAAATTTTGTTGGGCTCTTGGTTTATATTTCTGCACTGTTGTGTAAGGAAGCCCCACCTACAGTGATATCTCATTGGTTCAAAATTACACTATACATAACAGTAGCTGATACTACAGTTGTGATGAAACAAAAGTAGCAACAGATCTTTTATTTTGTATTGTGATGTACATCCAAGAGAAACAGATTAACGAAATAGAAAAAATGTAGGGCGGGGACTTGTTTCTGTCCATCGGATGTTGATTGGATGGTGGATCTGAATGTGAGCTTGCAGTTGGTTGACTTTAAAGGGGTCATATGATGCGATTTCAAGTTGTCCTTTCTCTTTGGAGTGTTACAAGCTGATTGTGCATAGATAAGATCCCTGAAGTTGCAAAAAAAGCCTAAAAAAGCTTAGACTATTCTCGAAAGGTTATTTTTACGTTTTATTCGATTTGATCAACATTTGATGATCAACAGCAAATTTTGTTGGGCTCTTGGTTTATATTTCTGCACTGTTGTGTAAGGAAGCCCCACCTACAGTGATATCTCATTGGTTCAAAATTACACTATACATAACAGTAGCTGATACTACAGTTGTGATGAAACAAAAGTAGCAACAGATCTTTTATTTTGTATTGTGATGTACATCCGAGAGAAACAGATTAACGAAATAGAAAAAATGTAGGGCGGGGACTTGTTTCTGTCCATTGGATGTTGATTGGATGGTGGATCTGAATGTGAGCTTGCAAAAATAATGTTCTTTAAAAAAGCATCATATGACCCCTTTAAAAAAGGGGTGGGTTTATGCACAATAAATGACTGGAGAAGTTTGTTGCTTGACCACAAGATAGACATTTTGGTAAAAAATTACGAGGTCAAAAACAAGTAAAAAATAAAACATGCACAAATGAACTGTTCACCCTCACAACCAATAACATGCATTTAGAAAATAGCTGAATTTTCATTTCATACCGAATTTAAACATCAAATATCTTCAGATTCAGCATTCAGCATTTTCGCTTTCAGTGTGAACACAAATTAGGTTACTTAATGCTGATGTTTGACTTCACTTAGGTTTAATGCTCCAATGATATTTAGTTTACATCCTATTCAAGAGATCTCTCACCAAACTCCTTTGATTTCAGACAAACAACCGAAATGAGGTGCTGAAGAAACACTTCTTAAAAAAAGCCAACGGTCAAGCATCGAAGGCGAGTATGCAGTCTTCCTGTCAGACTTTGTCCATGTGACTCAAACTAAACCATTGATCTGTGTGATAGGCTTTACATGGAGCATGTGTCTGTGTTAACGGATAAAGACGTTTGCTGTAGCGCATCACACAGTGGCAAACTTGTGGCTTGTGGCTTCCCATGATTGATTCTTTATCACTGCACTGTTGTCATGTTTGCTTTCCTCCTAGACAGACAGCATGCTTCATGAAGTGAGGAAATCGATGGAGACGGACCGCTTACCTGTTGTGGAGCTGTCGACACGCGGAGGCTGCAAGTTTGAGTCAGTGATCCCCAATCCGGTGTGTGAACCGCAAGAGCGGCGGTATGTTTCCCGTTGGATGTGACGGCACAGTAATAACAAGAAGCGAGGATCCCGAGCGGATCAGTCCTCCTGCGGCAGGCAGCTAGCAGAGCGCAGAAAACACACTTTGCGTGCTGCCGTTAGGTCATGCTCAAAGTATGTATGTGCAGTATTCTTCAAGCTCAGGGAAACCACATCCTCTGACATACCTCCTGTATCCTGCTGCCTGTGTGCCGTCTGTCTCTCTCGCTCTCTCTGACTGTCTGAGATGACAGACCGAGCTGACCCAGACACAGTTCGCTCCCCCCCCTCTCTCTCTCTCTCGGCTTCTTCAGAAACCGACACAGTTCCTGCCCACCGACTGAAGAATCCAACTGAGGAGAAGGAGAAGGAGGAGGAGGTGCCGAGTACAAGCGAGAGCGGGAGCGGGAGAGAGAGAAAGAGAGGGGAAGGGAGACGGATAAAAGGGAGAAAAAGAGAGCGGGAGCAGTTATTTTAGAAATTACAGGGATATAATAAAGCAATGATAAGAGCTCAGCTTGCGGGAGGACTGAAAGAGCAAGGAAATAAGCAAAATACTGTAAACAGAGTGAAAAATCTGCAATGAGATCTCTGTAGTATCTCAATTGTTTCTCCAAGACCTCAAAGAGGTTAACTGGAGAGCAAATTAGTTTGTACCCTCCAAACTGTCATTTATTTTGTGAAACACTTAAGAATAACTACATCGCTTTTTTTCTATGTATCAACAGTTATTTGCATGACCTGCATGGCTGTTGAGCTCCAAAAAGGTAACAAAAGTGATCCATGCAACTGAAAATTCAGCTTTGTCATCACAGGAATAAATTACATTTTTAAATATATTAACATAGAAAATCGTTATTTTAATTGTAATAATATTTGACATTTTTACTGTATTTTTTTTTTTTTACATAAGTGTAGCCTTTGTAAAATGATTCTTTTAAAAACAGTAGTATAGAATATGTTCACAGCATCTTTCTGTATATTAACCATTATTTGCATGACTTGCACGACTGTTGCGCTCCAAAATGCAAACATGAGTGAAACAAAGGTGATCCGTACAACACCTATATCCAAAGTTTTCTGAAATAATGGTAGTTTTGTATGAAGCACAGTCTGAAAATTCAGCTTTCCCGTTACAGGAATGAATTACATTTTAAAGTACATATTATAATAGTATTAATAATTATTTATTTATTATATTAACATTGACAATATTATATTCATTTATATTATATGACATATTAATAATTATTTTGGTTATATATTTTTTTAAATGACCGTTTTTACTGTATTTTTGATCAAATAAAGGAGGTCAGTATATTTTACATTATATTTTGTAATATATAGTTTATTCAAGAACATTTACATGGCTTCTTTCTATATAACAAGTTAAATGCGCAATTTCCATGACTGTTGAGCTACTGTATAAAAAGGATGAAAACATGCAACTCGTGTGTTATATTCTAAATCTACTGAATGATAGCTTTGTGTAAGAAACAGACCAACATTTATTATAAAAGTCAGTATTAACTATATCTTTCTGTCCACCAAAGCTCATGAAGTCATTGAAGGCAAAACACCACCAGTTCTTGTAAAAGCTATGGTCCGGATTGAGTACATAGAACAGAGAATGACATTCGAGAGCTTCAAGGAGGTGAGTAAAACCTTTTTTCAATCCTCTACACTGTAAAAAATAATTGTGATTTTAACAGTAAAAGACTAAAAATGCTACAGTAAAAACCTGTTAACTGGTTAACAGTAAGTTACCATACTATATTCGGTGAATAAATGTAATTACATTTAATGTAAAATACTGTTAAAATAAGGTTTTTTTGAAGTGAAAAAGAAAAAGTCATTGTATAATTTACAGTGACAAACCGTAAATTGACACTCCCAGAATTCCCTGCATGACACTTCATATTTGATGTTTTTTTGTTGAAATAACATGTTTCTTCTTAGTTTTTTCTTATCGGTTGTGTACATTAGGGTTTAATCTTACATCTAATGGTTAAATTAATGTTCATTGCATTATTTCAGTAACATGTGTGTCACCATGATGGGGTTTAGTGTTTGTGTGCATGACACTGTGCACCTTCTATATAAGTATTGCCCTCCTCAGCTCGTAGAAAAGCTGTTTGTGATGAGCTTTGGTTCATCATGTGACTTTCTCATCACCACCAGATTTTTGGTGGTTATCAGTGCATTAGAATGGTTCAAAACAGATATTAGTACTTCAATATGTTGGTTTATTAACATTACATCAGTTAATGAAATACGGTATTTTATTGTGAATTTAAAGGGGTCATATGATGTTGCTAAAAATAACTTATTTGGTGTATTTGGTGTAATGAAATGTTTTTATGCAGTTCAAACTAATTTTTTTCCACATACTGTACATTATTGTTTCTCCTCTATGCCCCGCCTTTCTGAAACGCATTGATTTTTACAAAGCTCATCGGTCTGAAAAGCGAGGTGTGCTCTGATTGGCCAGCTATCCAGTGCGTTGTGATTGGCCGAATACCTCAAGCGTGTGATGGAAATGTTACACCCCTTACCATACTGTGATGCCCTGTCCGGCCGGAGCGACAAGACAAAAACATTAAAACCCATTATAAACGAAGCATTTGTTGCATCCAGTGGGGGCATAATCACGGATTATAATGACTTATACTGTCTTTTTACGCGTTGCGTTGCGCCGCGTAAACATAAAACCATGTCTGCATTTGTGATCGGAGAAATGACAAACAACAAGCGTTACTCTACACTGCTCAGAACTTGCGTTTGAATCATCAGTGGCAAATTCTTTAAATATAAAAACAGTCTGTGAGTCAGAACAGCTGGCATTGTAGTCTACTCTACCAGGAACAGGAAACAGTCCTCCATAAAATGTGCTGCACACATCTGAATATTTGGGTTGAAGTGTTCTGGAACAGTGTTGTAAATACAACTTAACCACTGATTTCTAATCGTGTCCTCTTTTGAAAGGCCAAACAAAGAAGTTTTGCTTTCACAACGAAACATATCGTCACACACGGCAGGCTAGAGTGAGCGGCGGCGGCCTAGAGTGAGCGGAGGCCATTGGGCTTAAGAACGGCGCGGCCGGCGGATTTGATGAAGAAGCAGGCTTGCGGCAACCACATGTGACGACCCCGGGCTGGACTCCACTTCATCCACGGTGAAAGCCGATCCGGCGATCCACAGCGTGAAGTTGATTTATTTCCTCAGCGACCTTCCTTTTGGAAGGCCAACAAAGTAGATTCGCTTTCACAACGAAACACAGAATATCTCTTTGGATTTGAGACTTTAGTCTTTGCAACTTTACAGATCTTCTTTATGCACCAAGAGCTTGTAACACTTCAAAGAGAAAGGAAAAATTTTAATTGCATCGTATGACCCCTTTAAGTTAAGTCTGCAAAACCTAAAATGTTGCTACCATATTTTTTACGGTGAACTTCTAGCAACCACAGCTGCCGGTATTTTACCGTAAATGTCAGATTTTTTTTTTACAGTGTAGAGTAGAGACAGCGTGATACAAAGTGATACTAAAGCATGCAATCAAAATTGATCCAGATCACTGTGCTCTTACTGTATGAAAGAATGTATGCATAGAATACAGTATGAAACAGTATGAAAGACTGTATGAAAACACTTTTCTCTTTTGCTTCTGTTTTCAGGGTTTTGAGAGAAACAAAGCTGGCTTCAGTGAAACGTAACTGAGCAGTGAAAGAGTGACCTGTGAGCGCTCACATTCTCCTCTGGGGAGGTTTTGTGGCAGTGGCTTGTTCTGGGGTGAGAGGGTCTGTGTCTGCCGGCCCCGATAGAGAGATGTATTTTTCATAAACCCCAGACACGGCCCCCAATAGCTGTGAATCCATTATTCAGACCGGTCTGAGAGAGAGGGGACTGACAAAAACACGACGGCCCGGTCCGAATCGCACCATAATCTCTAATTTCATCCATCACATCTCTATGATGAAAATGACACACCAGCATTTCATCAGAAGTCTAAGTGTTTTAATGGGAAATATTGTCTTTAAGGCACTCGAGAAGATTGACGTTCCCATTTCAAAGACTGTTGATAGTGATTTTATGCACAGACGAGGACACAACTGACCCCAGGACACAAATTAATGACATGAGCCGAGATGAAAGAATATGAATCTTTCTGAAACAGGAAATCCTTGTCTCAAGTACAATCGCTGATAACTACTCGTCGTGAGGTAGGCTGTTGAATTATTGATACTTGACAATATAATACTTCATATATAGGTGTATGGGTGTGTGTGTTTATATGTGGATAAACAATATATATGTAAAAATTGTTATACATGTTTATATAAAATTATATTTTAAAATTGTGTGTGTGTGTGTGAAATGGACAGCACCTGAGTTAAATATATGAGTGTCACAGCAAAGGGTCTGAATACTTAGAACCATGTGATATTTCAGTTTTACTTTTTTAATAAATCTGCAAAAATGTCAACAATTCTGTGTTTTTCTGTCAATATGGGGTGCTGTGTGTACATTAATGAGGAAAAAAAATGAACTTAAATGATTTTAGCAAATGGCTGCAATATAACAGAGTGAAAAATTTAAGGGGGTCTGAATACTTTCCGTACCCACTGTACATATATATATATATATATATATATATATATATATAGAGAGAGAGAGAGAGAGAGAGAGAGAGAGAGAGAGAGAGAATTTCTTTATATATTAGATGGGTGCAAGTTTTACTTGCTAATAAACTGAAATACTTGAATGCATTTTCTGCACATTTCTTGGTCACTAATCAAAGCAAATTATCACTAGTAATGAAACATTTTGTACTAATTAGAAAAAAATGCTCTCAGACTCCTGGACCCCATCGTATGTCAACAACCCCCCCAAAAACACAAGATGTTTGATGTGTTAACCATCTTTCATTGGAGCTTGAAGAGAAGAAGGAGAGATGGTGGAAAACGAGAGCTCCCACTGCGTAATTACCGCTGCGTTTATTGCGAACTAATCACTGCGTAATCCCTGTGAAAATAAAGAGCACTACGGCATCACTGAACACTTCACTAACTGCATCGTTAGAGGAAAACAAAAAGTGTGCAGAGCAGCAGAAGACGAGTAAACTCACTCCCGCTTCCACAGCACAACGCTGATGCTCTCGCTGGAGCTAAACACGCTTTACACACAGAAGACACACACTGTATGACCTCTGATGGCCTTTCGTCTGATGCTGAGGTCATCTGCGATCATGTCTGGATAG